GTGATTTTATAAAAATAGGATAAAGCCAACCTGCATGTTGGTTATTCCCAAGATTTTAGTATCCACAGAATGAGGTATTTATGTTACTGCTGCAGCTATTTCATCAATAACTTGAATACATGAATTTTGCATTACACTTAACATGAATATAAATGTATTATTACTGAAAAACCTTCAAGACAACATTCTAAAGGCATTCCAAGATAACAAAACCTTTGTAACTAAAATAAAATATCCCCTGAGAAGCTTTTAAACAGGCTTACAGGTGTGGATCAGCCATTGTGTATTCCATTCTCTGCCTTCCTAATTCCAGCCTTCTGGCTTCACTGGAAGAAAACAACACACAGTGAGATAAAAGTATTTCACCATCTGAGGTCTCCAAACATCAGAACTGAGGGGTTTTGCAGAGCACAGCCCTTGCTGAGCTGGGAGTCACAGACTCATCTGCCAGCTCTGAACAACTCCAGACTTTCACCCCTCTCTCTGTTCCTCACTGGAACAGGGTTGCTGGCAAGGGAAGAGATGCCTGAACATCCACATGGGACCCAACAAATCAGCCAGAGACCCCAGACAGCCCAGGAAGGGCTCTGAACCCACCATGGGCAGTTCCCAAGCCCATCCCTCCCTTTCTTGCCCCCCAATCCCACGGCAGACCCCCTTCCATGCCAGAAACGCTTGGCTGGAGCTGTTCCCAGGACAGCTGCCCTGAACCTGCCACAGGGATGGATTAGAACACACTTCCAAAACCCCTCCCAGCTCACAGACCTCACATGCCAGCCAAGTATTTTATCTGGGAACTGAACTTGAAACCAAGCTCATATTTCCCTCCTGGCACCCAAGCCAGGTCCATCCAGAGGCAGGTGAGCCCCACTTGCAGCAGTGCTGCAGGAACAAGCGTCCACCAGGAATCCTGGCAGTGCTGAGAGCCTGTGGAGCCATTGGAACTGCCCAGGCATGGGACAGACACGTGCTGAACCACAAAGCCATCCCACAGGGAAGGTGCTTTTGGGAAGAGAGTAAAGCTGCCATTATTGAATAATTCCAAATTGCACCTGAGGATGAACAACCATGCCCTGAGAGAAAAACTAGAAATAACCAAGAAAAGCTTCCAGCAGAGTCTCACTGCAAGCCCTGCCACAAGCAAAGCCAAGTGCCTCTTCAGGAACAGCATCAGGCTGTCATTAGGCAGCAAAGGGGACATCACAGATCCCAACACGTCTTGGCACACTTTTTCGTGGATTTGGGCTCTCCCTACACACACAAACACCTCTTCATAGTTTCCCTGCAGAGAAGGGAGAGAGGAAAAACCCTTCCTGCTGCTCTGCCTGGGAGATCAAGGCGTCCTGTTTAGCCATGTGCTCCTGCCAGCGCCGGGAGCAGGATTAGGGCTGCGCGTCATGTGCACAATTTAACAGCCACGCTCCATCTGGGATCTCATCCCTTCAATCTCCTCTTACGCGACGGACAGCCAAGCAAACGCAGATTTCAAGATCCTGTTTTTACACTTGTCCAAGTAATTTTCCTGCCTCAGCGGAGAACACCGATCTCCTAAGGGATGAAGAAGCCGATGGATGTGATCCGATGCGTGCTCCGATCCCATTTCCCACTCGCCCATCCCGCAGGGAGCACACTGCATTCCTCAGCTCCCCAGAGCCCATTCCCTCCCCACCAGCGGGGTTTTTCACCGGCCAGCCCGCTGCGGCAGGCAGGGATAGCCAGGGAAGGGCTCCTGGGGCAGGCACAGCAGACAAACCCCCGAGGCCGCAGTGTCCCGGGACACTGCCATGAGCAGCCTGGACACGGGGCCAGCAGCGGGAACAAACCCCGGCCAGCAGAGCCTGACAAAGTCCGGTTACACGGGGTGGTCCATCCGTCAGGAGCTGAATCTCTGGCGACTGACTCCCCAGCCCCTCCAGAACTTAGACATCGAAGGGGAAAAGAAGAAGGAGATGGATGAAAACAAGGAGAGGGAAAGCATCCGCCGGCCCGGGGCGGGGCGGGAACCGAACCCCAATCTTGCCGCGGGGGGACCCGGCTCACCTGGCGCGGGGCTGGCGGTGCCCATCCCGGGGGCGGTCCCAGTGGCCGTTCCCGATCCCGGGGCCGTTCCCGATCCCGGTGGCCCCGCGCGGTTTCCGCCGGTGCCCACGTGCGGCTCCCGCCGTGCCCCGCGCGGGACCCCGGAAGTGCCGCCCCGCGTTGCCATGGGGACGGGCGGGCGCGGCCTGCGCCGCCCAGAGGCGCTTTGGAAGCCTTGAAGACTTTTTTTTGTTTGTTTGTTTGATTTTGGGGGTTTTTTTGTTTGTTTTTTTTTTTTTTTTTTTTTAATAATTATTTATCTTCAGCCCATCTCTCACCACCACGTTATTATCGCAGGCGTTAAGCCCCCGGCTTGGTGCTGAGGCGACACAGGATCCATGTCGCTGGAAAAGGGGGAAATCTGCAAAGCGCCAGTCCAAAAAATAACTGGGAGCTGTTGAACAGCTGCAGTTGGTTCTGCTGAGTTTATTGTACACCATGGTTTTCAGGAAAAAAAAAACAAACCTGATTTCCTTGTCCTCTGGAGTGCCACTGTGTCCCTGTGGTGCTGTCCCCTCTCCAAAATTCGTATGGGAGAAGCCACAGTCAGCCACAGCCTTCTCCAGCCCTGCATTCACATCTCCAGCTGGAAATGAAAACAGAACGCCCGCCTTTCATTTCCAGATAAAAACTTCAATCCCTTTGAAAGGAAGTTGCCAAATGGGCGCTTAAATTCCAGGGCCCCAATAAAATCTGAATACTGCGGGAATAATTGAAATGAAGGAGAAGCGATACATCAATAGACAAAATTGCGGAGAGCGGTGAAATGCTTAAACATAATTAGGATGGCAATCAGAGTACAATTAGTGCGAGATCATCACAGTAATTACGCTTCGTTAGAACTTCTGGCCAAGAACAGACACATGAAAGCTCAGCTGGAGCTGGAGGCTCCGGCTGGGGACATGCCCAGGCCTTGGGGGGATCGGGAGCTTTTGGGGTTCCTAGACTGGGTTTGGTGATCCAGCAGCATTCCTGACATTTCCAACACCTGCAGCCTCCAGCTCAGCTTCATGGATTTAATGGCTGAGCGAAAAGCTCTGTGGAATGGATGTAGTGGCACCCAGCTGCCCCCAGATTAGCCTGGCTCAGACCCTGCGTGTCCGTCTAAATACCCGGCTCAACAAAGTATGGAGAACATTGGCTTGAGTCAGAGCTTTCCCACTCCAGGAATGCCCAGCAGAGGATTTGGGAGCCTTTTAGTATTGCATTCCCATATAAAGTGCTTGGCATGAAGACTGTTCTCCCCCCTCCTTCTGTTTACTGAAAGCAAAGGTGTGTTTTGGAGGTCTCCCCCACACCTTCACAAGAGCCTTCAGGTGAAATCTGGGCCTGCTTTCGGAAATATTTGTGCTTGCTAAAAGAACACTTAAAACAGTGCAAAACTTCCAAGCACTTCTGAAATCCTGAGCCCACTCAGGAAAAACTGGAAGGCTTATTCCAGTTTTGAGGGTTTGGTGGAAAGGGGCTGACGGTCCCTGACCCATCGGGCTGCACAGTTTGTCTCCTGGGCAGCCCTGGGAGGTTTTTTTCACTATGGACCTCGGGCTGGGGCTTGAGGGTGTTGTCCCGCAGCAGGGCTCAACATCCTGCTATTTATTTAACGAAAAATAAGGAAATAAGGAGCCCTAGCCTGGTCCCCCTGATGTATTTCCCACTTTGTTCCGTGTCTAGGTGCTCACCACAGCACCTGGGCTCATAACTGACTCAAGAATAATCTCCATCCTCCCATCCCTGATAAGGAATGTGGTCTCTACCCTGAAAGCCTACAAAGAGGAGTGTTTTATTTGTGTTCTCCCTGCAGTACTTCACACTTCTTTTAGATTGTTTTAATTTAATTTTGATGTAATCTGATAAGAGCTGTAAAACTGTCAAAGGAAGGCGCCTCCTTCTGTCGCATTAAATACACTTTGAACGAAATGGTGGCTTTGTCCCCAGTAGCTGCCAAACCAAAGCATCTCTTGATTGCAGTGCAGGGATTGATGTGCACTAATCTGAACAGCTTTACACTCTTTTTCATTTAGGGAAGCAGCCACGTGTCCTTTAGCATCCCCCTTTCCTCTGGGAAGTAACCATATCCCAGAAGGTGCGGGATTGGCCTCACAGAGCTGAGCACTTGGCCACAGGCCTCTCACCTACCAGAGACCCTTGGCAGGCTTTCCCAGTTTTCCAGGGCAGTGGATCCACGTGCTGCACATGCCTGCTGCAGGGATGAGAAGACCCTCGCTCCCAGAAAAGTGGGAAACTCCTTACAGAGCAGGAATTGTTGGTGTCTGTGGTAGGGTGTCATGGGACATGCAGCAAGTGGGAGGAGGACAAATTGTCCTGGAAAGGGATTTGCAGAAACACAGAGATGTGTTAGGAAGAGATTTTCCCTCTCTGTGCCTGGGTGACCCCTGAGATCCCTCACCCACAAGCCAGGGCAGAGCCCAATGCATTTGCTTTTCTTTTTGTCAATGAGACATATAACACAGGCCCCGGGAGCTGTGTGAAAACATATAGAATTTACATAATGCCCAATATGAGTCCTTTTTGTTAATGACTCAAGTCCCAAATGCAGAGCACTAATAACACACCAAGAACCAAAGAGCAGTAACAGCAGCGAGCGATCTCAGCAGAGCAATTGTGAGGATCCATTTCCTGTCAGTGGCAGTGCCTGGGAACAGTAATTAGCGTGTTGAATTTAATGTTCACATTTTAATACATTTAAATGTAATAAAATGCTTTTATTAAGTGGTACAGTTCCGCGAAACTTGTTATTACTCGTGTCTGACGCTCAAGCAGCGCACACCACGTCTGGCCTCAGACCTGCTGCCTCAGGGAAGGTGACAGAGTTCCTCCAGCAGGAACCTGGAACCCAGAACACAACAGCTGAGTACACAAAAAACTGGAGACCGCAGCAGTTAAAAGCATGTCATGTTTATTGCAAATGTAAGGGCCTTAGCCAAAGCCGAGTGACATAATTGAAAAGCCCCTAGGCATGTCAGTGTCTGTGGATTTTGAATTAATCCTGGAGAATTGAGATATAAGCACATACCACTGATATTAATGAGCCCCAGAAAAGCCACGGCACAGGGAAGGGCTGGTTTAGAGACTGTTTTCCGGGAAGTCCCCTCCTTCTCCAGCCATCTCCAAGTGCTTTTCCAGTGTCCTGTGCAGCATAGAAGGCTCCACGAGTGGAAGGGAGCAGGTGTGGCACGAATGAGGTTGTTCCAAGGCCAAGCATCCAGAGAGGATGTCAGGGAGATTTTGGGTCTCAGTAGCTCGTATGACCAGGCTGTAAACACAAGGAGTCTCCGCTCAAGTGTCTGCCGCTGTCTGAAGAGGAAAGAGGAAATTGACAGTGTTGAGTTTCCCTGTCCCTGGAAAAATGAGAACTGAATTCAGGCTTTCAAAAAGCTGAATGTGACCCACGGGCTGAATTTGAACTCGACCACTCACAGCCAAAGGCTCAACTCTCATCTTCCCTGAAAGCATCTACACCTCACACTCGTGAGCGCCCTGTGCCACGGCTCCTTCAACTTCTGTTCCCCAAGCTGAACCAGCTCTGGTGTGTTTGTGATCAGGAGAGGGTATTTTGGCTCATTTTGGAGCCTGCAGTGGCCAGACTGCAAGTGGCAGAAATGGCTCACAACACACAGCCAAGCTCAGTGCCACGAGTGCCCGCTGGGGTCCCATGGCTGGGGGCACCAGGGTCCTGCTCAGCTGCAGCCTGACCCGAGGAGACAGAAGCCAGCACAAGGCAAAGCCTGCCACAGGCACCACGAGCTCCCCTCCTCACAGATGCGGGATGGAGACCATCCCTCTGGGGGCTCTCAGGACTCCCTGTGCCCGACTGTCCTGCTGCCGGCTCTGCGCACGGAGCAGCAGTGCTGCAGTGAGGAAAAGGGGACACAGCACCCACACCCGTTCCCAGCACACAGGGTCCTACCTCGCCTTCAGTGTGTCATCCCCTGCACCAAGCCATGTTTTTGCCAGGATCCTCTTTCAGGAGAACAGCACCTTCACGACCAAGCTGTTCCCTCTGCTGTCCACACTGCAGCTCCTGCCAGCGGGGCTATGGCTTGGCCAGGCCACTCCATCCTGCTTGATCTCAGTGCTTGCCACTGCTGCTGCTGCTTTAAAGGACACAGATCTATCAGGCTCTTTCATTAGTGTTTTAACAAATGATTGGATTGATCTCAGGTACAGACAGAAAGACTGAAAAAGTTTAGCTTCTACACGCCATGAAAAATTAAAGGGAGAACATAAAATAACTGGGGAATTCTTTTAACTGAATTAGACATTTTCCTGTCAGTCCCACAGATCAGAGCCATCGGTTTTGAAGAGCTGCTGCCTGCATTGACAGGGACAAAGTGTTTGGACAAGGTGAAAAGCCCGGAGGATCCCAGCACCAGGCTCAAAGGGATGTGTCTGGCCCATTGTCTGGTTTGATTAATGAAGCCTTTGCAGAGCGAGATAATGCAACGTTTGCCGTGCCAGGGATGCTGCTGCACAGCACAAATATCCCAACTATGAGGAATATTCAATATTATAACAACAGCAACGAGCCCATCTATGTATGACAGGATTCTGCCCAAAAATACCTCAAATTATATTTGTTTATTTCCTAATTGTCAGCCACTTTGATGCACTCATCGTCAGGTTCAACAAGTGCTCCAGGCTCCAAGAGTTTGAAACAAAGGGAGGCACTTGGGCGAGCTGTGAGGTTTGTGGGGCCGGGAACTGGGATCTGGTGGCCCGGGCAGCGGGGTGTGGCTCTTGGGACAGACACACAGACAAACACGGTGTCCCTGGAGGATCCCTGGCCTCCTCACAGCCTAGCATTCAAAAACTGCCCACCACGTCTGTGTCTCGGCAGGAACACCTGCGGGTCAGCAGCGACTCTGGGAAATAAAAGCGAATGGATCAGCAAAAGGGCCATGCAGGAGGAGAGCAAGCGTGGAGCTCCGGGCTCACACCGCAGGGGACTCCAAGCTCCTGCCTGGGCATGGCTTGGCTGCTGCCTCTGTTCCAGTCTCACTTCTGCCAGAGGTCTGGAGCTGAGTGCCTGGACCTGGGAGCGCCGGGGAAGCTGGCTTGCCTTTGAGGAAGCACTGCCAGCCCAGGTCTCACCTGCACCCTGCCTCACCCCAGTGCTGTGAAATCCAGGTTTGAGTGAACATGGTATTTGTCACTTCCCACCCCAAACCATCGTGCTGGTTTGCTGTGACTGATTAGGCATTTTCCCCCTGTCCTGTGCAGAGGATTGTTCTGGTGGTGAATGAAAGAATCCACACATATCAACTGTTCATTTGTTTGTAAAAAGCGGGAGAACAAGCACGGGACTATTCAATTAATTAAGCTGTGTCTGCTTGGAGTTCAGCACCCCTGGGCCCTGCACTCCATTCAGAACATGCCAAACAGAAATAGGAACCTGAGGCTGAAGCTGACAAAAAGGCTTGAGCAGAGAAGGAAAAATCCTCCAACAGTGCATTTTGACAGTGTTCAAAAACGCGTTTCTAACGTACCTGTGAGGCAGCACGGGGTGGACACACAGCTGGGCAAAGGCTGGGGCTCACTCCAGGCTTCAGGTTCCAAATGCTTTGCCCGCTTGCAGACACACAAACCGCACCGGGCTCTCCTGGCGGCCCGGGGGGTGACCTGTGCCCCGTTCTCATCAGGACCTGACCCGAGAGAGGCGCCTGACCCCGAGCATTCTCCTCCTGCTGCTCCCCGCAGTGTCCCCGCTAGTTCAGCACAGCCACCTCCCGCTGTTACGGGTCCAGGGCAAACCCTGGCCCCCGGGAGCACACAGCTGCCCCAGCCGGGACACTCCTGAGCGCCACAGCCCGGAGTTTCGCTCCCTCAATACTCGCTTTTTTTTTTTTTTTTTTTTTTTTTTTCAGAAGCAGCGCGTTTGTTCTCTATGCCCGAAGCGCCGGGGACTCACTGCCCGCCCGGGCGAAAGGCTGACAAAGAAAGGCGGAAAGGGGAAAAGCCCCGTCCCAGTACCCGCAGCTCCGGGCGGAACCCCGGCCACCCCACGGGCGGCGAGGGGGACGCGCCGATGGAATTTGGGGAGCAGCTGCGGGGCCGCCGCACTCGGAGCGTTCTGTCCCCGCTGCCGCAGCGGCCACGGAGCAAGCCCGGACCCGGCCGCGGGGACCCCCGCCCAGGTAGGTGCCGCTGCTTCGCTCTCTTCTCCCCCTCACCGCCTTCCGTCCCCTTGGATTTCCTCCCGCCGTTTCCTTCAAGCCATTGAATTCCGGCGATTTTACCATCGGGCAGCGCCGCGGAGAGCGGCGGCCGCCGCTCCATCCGCTGCGGGGAGATCCACAGTGAAACCGCCCCTGGTCTGGCTGCGCTTCCAGCGGCTCCGGGCAAACGGGACCGACCGCAGGCGGCGGTGACCGCAGGCATCGGTGACCGCAGGTGAAGCGATGCAGACGCGGCGGGGCTGGACCGGGGCCGCGGGAGGTCGCACCGGACCCGACAGCCTGCGCTGGGGTGAAGCGATGCAGAAGGGTCCGCTCGGAGGGCGGCTGCCCGCCGGGGCACGGAAGGGCCCGCGTTCCCACTCCCCGTCCCCCGGTAGGTTCCTTACCTGGGCTCCGGGCTCGGCTCCCCCGCCGCTGTTGCCGCTCCCGCCGAGGCACGGACAGGCAGCAGCCACAGGGAATTTAGGGTCTTCCCGAAGCCCTGCCGCCCTTCCCGAGGGGGGTCAGTGCCGGGGATGTCTCCCCCCGGCCCCGGGATCCCCCCGGTCCTCCCCCCGTATCGATTCCAGTCCGGCGCTGGCAGCGTTTAGGCCGGGATTGGGGGATAATAGGAATATCATCTGGAGACAATTACCTTTGGAGCGCGCTCGCTTCTCCTCCCAGACACTGTTATTTGAGCAATAGGATCATTTGATTTCATATCGCACTAAATAACCCCCGGCCGCCGCAAATTGCCGCCTTCTCAACAGCCACCCCTTGGAATAAATTGCACAGCGACTCCTTGGGCTCCAGCTTCTTCTTCTTATTTTTTTTTTCCCCCTTATTTTCCCCCCCTCCTTTTTCTCCTCTGCAGAACGGTATTTCGGGAGAAGCCGGGACAGAGGCCCGATGCTGGTGGATAAACTGCGTCCAGCAAAGCTCCGGCTCCCTTAATAAGCTAAGCAGCCAAACCCTACCCGCACCGCTTTTCCTCATGTTTTTCTCCCCCTCCCTCATCTATTTTTTTTTCTTTCTTTCCTCCTTTCTTTCTTTCTTTTTTTTTCTTTTTTTTCCTTTTTCTTCTCCCCGTTTAAAGCAGTTTTTCCTCTGCCGGGTCCCACTGACTGCAGGGCTCGATGTGCCTTTAAGGCTCTGTCAGCGCTCGCCTCATAATCTGGTCATCGCCGGCCTCATTAGATCTGTATTAATGTCAGCCACGGATTGCTAATTAGATTTGCGGGATAAATGAAATTACCCGAGTGGGCGGCGTGGGAGGGGGAGTGCAGTCTCCCAGCGCTTCCCAGGATTTACGGGGGGAAAAAAATAAAAACGGAAAAATAGAAAGGAAAGACATAATTTTATTTTCCATTCTTTTCTCCCTCCTTTCCCCTCCTGCCCCCTGAGCCCCATCCCCTCCTCAGGCTCCCCTCTGACAGCCACTAACCAAAGAATTCCCCAAACTGCTCCGTAGCTGGATCTGGGGGTTCTGCTAACAGAACATTGGTGCCGCATCGGGTGCTCCGTGCCGAGGGATCCTGCTTGCATTGGGTTCCTGGATCCCAGAAAGCAGCTCCGGGGTGAACAGCACTACATTGCTGGGGTCTCACAGGGGTCAAGGGAGAGACTGATGGCATTATTCATCCTGTTTATTTATCCTTATTAGAAAATGGGATGAAAGAACAGGGCCCGGCGTCTGCCTTTAAGCACCGGCTGAGCAGAGCACACACAGCCCCAATTAAACACTGCCCGGACGAGGCCTTTCTCCATATTGGAAACCCAGCTCTGTTTAACGAGGACCAATTAAATCCTGCTTCATTTTACCTGGGATCTCACAACAAATTCCCTTTCTTCTTCCCTGGTAATTACTGGCAGAATCAGCCCTGCTATCGGGGCAGGAAGCCCTCCCTGATAACCCACCCGAACCCCGGCTGGATTCCAGCAGAGCCAGGGGCCCCTTCCTGCCCCCAACCCACCAAAACCCGGCTGGGATCAGCCTGGGTCTCCAGTCCTCTCCCACTTCAGCCCACCACGGTGCTGGCAGAGTGGGGCCCCTCCTGGGGAAGCATGTGGAGCTATTCCAGCCCCGCTCTGGCCTACATTCCCAGGCCTCCCCTGAGCACCCCACAATGTTAAAAACTGCACCCTGTCTCCCAGGGGACATCGCTGCAACTGGGACATTCAATTAAATAATCCTGGCCCTTTGCACCACAAATAAATGGCTTTTTTTTTCTTCCCACAAATATTTCCTTTCCCAAGTTCCCTTTCAAAAGGAAAAAAAAACCAACAACAACAAAGAAACAAAACCCCAAACTGGAGAACAACAGGAAAAAAAGGAGAGGGGGGGAAAGAAAAGAAAGAAACTGTTCTCCTTTCTTTTCCCTGTGTGCAGGGTAATTGATAGGCTCTATCAGAGGTCAGGATTTGCATAAGAATTAAGAGCAGTAAATTAATTTAATATTCCATGCACATCTCCAATTATTCCTGCAGACCTTTGTCTCCCCGGCTGGCAGAGAGAAGGTTCAGCTGCTCTTCAACCAAACAACATCTGTGCAGTTAATAATTTGATAAACAGCTCATACAAATAGTTTCTGAATTATCTGCCAAACCAATGACTATTCAGTTTGGAAACACTCGGCGAGGGCTGTGCCGGCGGCTTCGGAGCCCCGGCCCAGGGATTTGGCTGTGCGGACAGAGATTCGCCCTGCGGATCCCTAAAATATCAGCAGCCCTCTGCAACAAAATCCCATCAAGAACAATATGTGAAATAAGTTAGTAGTAGTAATTAATAAGAGTAATTAATAAGAGCCCACCCTGCCCAGTGTGTGCCCACCACCCGGAGAGGCTCACACGTGCCGGGCTCCATCCCCCAGCTCCGGGCTCCAGGTGGATCCATGTGAGGTCTGTGGCCCCAGGAACTGCTCTCGCTGGGTGCAGCC